TTGGTGAGTAGCATCTGGGGTCTTAAAAGCTTGCAAGCAGCAATCTAAGATACGTCTATTAGTCCTATACCATCAGGAGCAAAGGAGAATGAAGAAAACAAAGATACAAGGACAGTATCAGTCCAAAAGACTAATGGACCACATGAACCACAGCTTCCACCTGCCTGAGTTTAGAAGAACTAGATGGTGCCCAGCTTACACCACTGACTTCTCTGACAGGGATCACAATAAAGGATCCCAGACAGAGCAGGAGAAAAGTGCAGAACAAAATTCAAATTCACACACACACACACACAAAAGACCAGACTTACTGGTCTGACAAGGCTGGAGGAACCCATGAGACTATGGCCCCTGGACACCCTGCTAACTCAGAACTGAAGCCACTCCCAGAGTCCATCTTTTAACCAAAGATTAGATGGGCCTATAAAACAAACAATAACATACGTGAGGAACATACTTCTTAGTTCAATCAAGTATAGGAGATCAAATGGGCAACATCTGCCCAAAAGCAAAGACAAGAAGGCAAGAAGGAACAGGAAAACTGGATGAATGGACACAGGGAACTCAGGGTGAAAAGGGAAAGGAGGAGAGTGATGACAAAATGTAGGGATTGCAACCAATGTCACAAAACAATTGGAGTATAAATTTTTGAATGAGAAAATAATTTGCCTGTAAACTTTCACCTAAAGCGCAATACAATTTTTTAAAAAAATTATTTTAGCAAGTGGGATACAAAGAGAAAAATTTTGCAGGTGTCAAATGTAGCAAATAGTCTGGTGGAGCTGACACTCAGTGGACTAACGGAAGCATGGGAAACTGGATTGTAAAGGTTTATGGAAGCCAGACTCTTCATGGCCTCAACAGCCAGACTGAAACAAGTAGACTGTGCTCTACAGATGAAAGCAGTCAACAAAAACACTTTGCATGATATTGATATGATCAGACTTTTGCTTTAGAAAGACTACTTTGTCAACACTTTAGGATGAAAAGTAAAATATAATCAGGATATTTGAAGACCTGTAGTAAAATGTCACTTCCCATTTGGAGTTTTTGCTGACATCCAAACAGGTAGCAGCCCCTTCTTACCTAGCATGGATCACACCATCCCATAATGTTTGCTTTTTACCTTGGCTTTACATACTACATACACTGTGAGTCTCTCTAGGGCAAGGATGCTCTTTTATTTGTCTTTGTGTCCCTGGAACAGAGCACAATAACTTGCTGAATTAATTAAATTTCCAGGAAAGAGAGAAAGTCGAAGATAAGACAATATCGTTTTTCATCAAGTACTCTATTTTCCTCCACCCATCTGTCAGCTTGTTGGACTGTGGTGGCTTGTGTTGCTATGATGCTGGAAGCTATGCCACCAGTATTTCAAACACCAGCAGGGTCTACAGGACAGTGTTCAGTAGAGCTTCCTGACTAATACAGACTAGCATGAAAGGCCTGGCAATCTACTTCTGAAAATGAGCCAATGAAAACCTTATGAATCACAACAGACCACTGCCCACCTTGCTTGCTTTGGACACATCATGAGGAAGGATCAACTGCTGGAAGAGACATTCTGTTTGGTGAAATAGAGGGTCAGCAAGGATGAGGGAGACCCTCGGTGAGATGGACTGACACAACAGTTGCAAGGACAGATTCGAACATGCCTGCACCCGTGAGGATGACAGGCAATGCTCTGTTCTGTTGTACGTAAGGTCGCCACGAGTCAGAGTTGACTCCGTAGTAGCTATTTATCTATAACTATTTTATACCAAACTAAAGTTTTCCATCATTAAGCCTTTCACACGGGGATATTATAATTAATATTTAGAATGGGGTATAACATTTTAAATGATGAAAACATTACGATTGTATTGTGATACTGCAACAAACTTTAATAAATTAAAATCATAGAACAGTTCTGCTATGGTACATTGCAATAAATGTATTTCGTCATGTGTTCTCCAATAAAAACAAAAGGAATATCCATGGTAAATTAATTGGAGGAATGTAGTTGAGCATTTAGGTTAAAAAATGCATTTCACTCAAATACAAAATTAACTGAAGCTACATCAGGGATCTTACTTCAGAGGAATTGTTTAGCATAAAGAATCAGAACCTAAGATCTCTTCTAAGTTTTATTGCTGGTTAATTATAACAAAGGAAATATTTTGAGACCCATTTCGCCATTTTTAAATGAAAATCATATTTGCCATTCAGCTTATAGAATGCTAAATTGACTCATTCTTCGCTTTGGGAAAGCTAGTCCTTTTGCCATGAAGACATCTACTCGTTTGTCAAGTCTCAGATTATAGATTCTCTTATAAAAAAGCAAGGGATGAGAGGAAGTTCCTGTCCTAAAATGCAACCATTCTTCAAAGCTGACCCAGATTAGAAGCTAAACGGTCAGATTTAGGAGATTAGTCGGGTCATCCAGTGGAGGTGGTGAGGGATTCATCATCTAAAATGCCTAAGTCTGAAGCGAATGTTAAACTGAAGTTTCTATTAGATTCTAGATTCATGTGAGTAATCATGTAATAAATTCATAGAAATAATTTATCCGAAACATGGAAATTTCTTGCTAAGCAACTAATTTTGTTGCCATATAATTGTATTCTTAAAAATGTTTGACCTCAAACAAAACCTAACATTGGAACATTTATCCTTTCGGTCTGTGAGTGGGTGACTGCTGTTTTGAACATAAGGAAAAATCTTGGCCATGAAGGGTTTTTTATTTTAACGTTGGAGAAAGAACATATTCTGTAAGTCTCTAAAAACTACTATCTGGTGTACTCCAGAAAAGACTCCAACACAAAAACAAATTCTTCCTGGTCAAGAGTGAGAGCAGGGATGCAGGAAAGTAGGGTTGGGACTCCCCAAGTGTGCAGTGGCCAGGGAAGGCCCTTCTAATGAACTTATTCTGGAAAACTGGCTCAGATTGGAAGTTAGATTTCACGATATAAAATTGGACTTTGAGAAAATCAGGACTCTGGCTGCTTTCAAATTTCTAAGTTCTGAAATTTTGGTTCAATTACCTAGTGATTTCCATTATAATCTGATTATTAAATTTATGTACCAATTATGCACAAAGAGGTATAAATCGTTCTTCTTATACCCAAGTTCCTTTGCAATCTTCCTGTACACATAAACACAATCAATTAACAGAATGATTTCTGAGGCCAATAAGAATGTGGTCAAGTAATTCTCTCTGATTATGCTGAATCAGAGTCATAAAAGGGAATGTAAGCATTTTATGTCACATCGGTAAAAGAATTATAATAGATACGATGTAGGATATGTCTAGATAAACTTCTACTTTGATAGAACTCATCTTCTTTCATATGATTTTGTTTTATTAAAAGCTAGAATATTTGTTTATAAAATGATAGAAAAATTAACGCTTAAATATGACAATGAGTTAGAAGTAAAAAGAAATGCTTACCAAATTCCTTCGGTACCGTTATTGAATAGAGGCATATTTGACCAGCTGTGTAATTCTGAGGGTAGTTCGGTGACAATACAACCCCATCTGATCCAGTGTACTGGCCTCCACAGGGAGCTGAAAGTAAAACCAGCCAAGTATTACGTGCTCTGCTATCATAACACTGCATGTGACAGGTATCTCCTCTACAGCTTAAAAACATGGAATAAATGAACTTAACTAAAAACTTGAAATATTAAAGTTTAGAATTTGTTTTACATGGCAAACAAAGTAATAGCAAAATGAAAACAAAGATTTACCAGGTTAGAATAAAAGTGATTTAACTCAGGAGGTGAATCTAATATTAAGAACTCTCTCAAGGATGCTAAAATAATAATGAAAAGAACTATAATAATAATAATAAACAGGCACCATAAAGACAAATCATTAAATTATCTTAAAAATCTCACCAGAATTGTCTGGTTGATACCATAATCATATTAACTTGAGGGATACTAAAGACTATTTTGGCTTACTGTTGTTATATTGCTGTCGTTGTGTGCCATCCAGTGGATTCTCACTCACTGCGACCTACAGGACAGAGTAGAACTGCCCCAAAGGGCTTCCTAGGCTGTAATTTTTAGGCAGCAAATCGCCAGCTCTTTTCTTCCATGGAGCCTCTGGTGGGTTTGAACCATGGACCTTTCAGTTAGCAGCCGAGTGTTTAACACCTGTACCATCAATAACTATACTATCACTATAGAACTAAAGGAAAAGAATATAGTAGTAATCAGGTTTGCCTTTTAGATTAGTTTGTTTTTAACTCGTCATCTTATAGATTTAGTTAAAGAGCAACATGTAATTACTAACAATTTTGAGGTGTCTCTTCCCACGAATTCAATTTAAAGATGAAGGAGTTTGTAACTAGAAAGTTAGGGAAAACAAAACAATGGTGTGTTATCTAGAGAGCTCAGTGTGTATGTGTGTGTGTGTGTATCTACTGTATCTATGTCTATACCGATATCAATATCGATATCTCCGAACAAGGAGCCTGGGTGACACAAGCGATTTGCGATTGGCTGCTAACTGAAAGGTTGGTGGTTTGAACCAACCCAATGTCTCTATGGAAGAAAGGCCTGGTGATCTGCTTCCATAAAAATTGCAGCCAAGAAAATTCTATGGAACTGTTCTACTCTGTAATACACAGGGTTGCCATGGGTTGGGCCCGACTTGACAGCAGCTAGCAAAAACAACACACAGGCCCAGACGCATACATTTATTCAATATTACTGAGTGTCTACTTTGTGCAGGGTATGTATTATTATTTAGAGGTATATTTCTATTTTAAGTAGAAATAATAGGTAACAGCCCTACATTCTGTTTCCAGCTTCCATTCCTGAACTGAGCAATTGTCTCCACTCCCTATTAAATGCCAAATAATTAGGCAGCCCAGACAACAACAGCTACAGCCCCAAGCGCTGCTGTACACCTCTCCACGACGGAGCGTCGCTTTAAAAACTGTACTGGAGGGGGGAATGACAAAAGCGTGTGTGAGTGAGTGTGTGTCTTTACCTTCCCCCTGATTATCTATTTGCCTGACATTGACTCTGCTGAGAAAATAGGAAAACCCTGTAGCATAAACATTCAAAATACTTTTTAAAGCATCTTAAAACAGGCTTTCAATCAAATCCCAGTCTCTTGATAGTCAGTTTTTTAATTAAATCGCCAATACTTCAATTCTTCATATTTTACATGAGAAGAGGTTCCAGCCTGCTCATCTGTCTAGTTTAGAGCTGTGACTAGAACAGAAGTCACTGAACGGCCTGCCACTTGTACTGTTCCTCTTAGCACGTGGGATCCTGAACGTACTCCTTCTCATCTCAAACATACGCTCGCTGTTTGAATTCAGACTTATTTTGTTTTTGAGAAAGTTTATATTTCTATGGCTTATTTCTTCTTGATATGACAATTTCCAAGCTCTAAAAATATAGGCATTAGAGAGAAGATTTTTAATACTTTGAATGATAATTGGCACACTGTTAAATCCTAAATGATGGATAAAGCGTTCTCCACGATTAATAAAACTTCTCAGAATATATCAATACAAATATGATGGTACCTTATTGGAGATTTGTCAAGAGAGGTAATGATTTGTCAAGAGATTTCCCAAATCTATACATTACAATGGTTTGGAAAACATAAGTTATATTCTACATGTCAAAGGAAAATAATCTCAGCCATCTGAAAGCTTTGCTCTATTTATAAGTAAATACTTGAGATTTTGGGGTCCTTGGTGGTGTGCATGCTTGGCTGCTAACCAAAAAGTTAGAGGTTTGAACCCACCCAGAAGCACCTAGGAAGAAAGGCCTGGCTATCTGCTTCCAAAACTATCAGCCATTAAAAACCATATGGAGCAAAGTTCTACTCTGACACACATGGGGTTGCCATGAGATTTTATTTAACTAAACTAAGTACGGACTTCACATTAATGTCTTGATTCCAAATTGCTTTGTCATTCTAAGACACATTGATTTTTTAATTTCAAATAAAAGAAAATTATTTTCATTTTTACATGGAGAACATTTCTATAACCAAACTCCATAGCTGAAGGTTTTCAGTGAAATACTGAGAGACTCAACTCCACCAGCTTAGACGCAACCCTTAATTTTGTTTGTTTTTTTCCCATCTCAAACATTTAAATTTAACCGGGTCATTGCAGAGCTTTTTCTTTCTTTCTTTCTTTCTTTTTTAAATCTAAAAGGCCTGGAAATAAATCATTATCTGGGCTAACATTTTGATGCACACATTATCAGCAACTGGAATCTCATTTTTATCAAGGATACCTGCTGATGTATTTTATCCAGTGTAACTACAAAGTTTTACTTTGTCCAAAGATAGGATGGAAGCGCACTACTCTGCAATAATAGAGAACACTGAAAAAAATTCAAAGATGAAAGAAAATCAGCCTAGCATTTTTGGTCCTTCACTACCATGATAAATTGTGCTTATGTCTATACATTCTCCCTCTGGTTTAAAAGATAAGCACCAAGACCAAGGCAAAGTCATAGAAGTTCCAGAGACACATCCAAACTCCCATAGGGATCAAGTTACTGGGCTGAGGGCTGGGGACCACGGTCTTGGGGGACACCTTGCTCAATTGGCATAACATAGTTTATAAGGAAAATATTCTACATCCTACTTTGGTGAGTAGCACCTGGGGTGTTAAAAGCTTGTGAGCGGCCACCTATGATACATCTAATGGTCCCACCCCATCTGGAGCAAGGGGGAATGAAGAAAACCAAAGACACAAGGGAAAGATTAGTCCAAAGGACTGATGGACCACAACTACCACAGCCTCCACCAGACTGAATCCAGCACAGCTAGATGGTGCCTGGCTACCACAACTGACTGCTCTGACAGGGATCACAATAGACGGTCCCAGACAGAGCTGGCGAAAAATGTAGAACAAAATTCTAACTCACGAAAAAAGACCAGATTCTCCTCTGATGGAGACTGCAGAAATTCTGAGAGTTTGGCCCCCCGACACACTTTTAGCTCAGTACTGAAGTCACTCCTGAGGTTCCTCTTCAGCCAAAGATTTGACAGGCCCATAAAACAAACGATAATACACGTAGCTCAACAACAACCAAAAAAAGATAAGCACCAAAACTATACGGTGTATTTCAGACATGAGTAAACACTTACGAAACTGAGAAAACAAGTAGAGAAATTTTATTTAATTTAATAATTATATTGTTGGTGCTGCTGTGTTAATCTGAGAAATAATTATGGTCCTTCTCATGCTCAAAATTATTTTATATTAATGTGATAATAGAAGAAAAATAAATATGTGCTTACTAGTTGGTAATTTACATATTAAAAAGATCATTTCCTAAATGAATAAAGACATGCGACCTCATTCAGTGTGGATGGCAACAGGAAACTTGCTCATCCATTTGGATAATTGGAATATATGTCTAATATGTAAAGGCAACAGAATATGCAATCAAATTGAATGTAAACCAAAAACAACATTAGCAAATAAAAGCCATTTGGGGCCATAAAAGGGCTCTAGGCTATTCCAATTTCAATTATAATTCTATAGCAAACCTCACCATACAAAAACTGCAGGTAATAGATGAATCACCAAAAAAAAAAAAAAAAATCACACCATGCATTTAAAACAAACTAGTCAAAAATGTACTGATGGCATTCCATAATATATCAACGATTTACGTCTTTAAACTATAGCAAAAAGTCCCCAAGTTTAATTGGTGATCTTAATGATCCTCAAGCATTAATTTATGCACAAAGTGTCCTGTTCTCTATGAGAGATCCAACATTCTCTATGGGCAAAGTCATTTCTGCTTTAGTTGTTTGGAATATCCAGTTTTATTTTAAATGTAAATTGAAATGGCATAAGGAAAAATCAAAGATTTATGTCTTATCCACTTTGAAGAATAGTAAGCAGAAATTGTGCTTGACTTCCTAGGTGTTTAGACATGGGAAAAATTTCTAATTTAAAATTTGATTACATACTTATTGCATATTCTGCTGTGAACCAATGCCCAAATGTGACTTTTTTTTTTCCTTCTGCTTATTCTATGGCTAAAGTATTATCTTCCCCCAGTATTAAATGTATAATACACGTATGAAAGAACGGAAGTCCAAACATCAG